TATTTTTGTACTGTAATCTACAGATTTTAATGAGTGTGAAGAAATATCTGCAGCTCAGAGTGTAATGCCTCCAGCTTCCACATATCCTCTGTCGAATAATTCTCAAAAGCCAAGTGGTATCATTGATTTTGGGTTTGATGATTCCCCACTGCCAGAAGAGTGGAAGCGTTGTGTATCAGACAAGTTAAATTCAGTTCCTGAAGTCTTTGCTCTTAATGACCTCTCCTTTGGCCATATGACTGCTGTCAAGCACTATATTCGTCTGCAAGACGAAACACCTTTCAAAGAGAGATCCAGACCAATACATCCCTGTGATAGAGAAGCTGTACGACAACACCTCAGAGAGCTCCTGGACGCTGAAATAATTAGAGAGTCCAAAAGCCCCTTTGCATCACCAATAGTGCTGGTTAGGAAGAAAAATGGTAGCATAAGACTATGCGTCAATTATAGGAAGCTAAACAGCCAAACTATTAAAGATGCATATGCTCTTCCAAATATCGAGGAGACATTTTCAGCCCTCAGTGGAGCGAAGTGGTTTTCGGTGATGGACCTTAAATCTGGCTTCTATCAGGTGGAAATGGCAGAGGAAGATAAACCCAAAACTGCATTCACATGTCCCCTGGGCTTCTACGAGTTCAATCACATGCTACAAGGTGTCACAAACGCTCCGAGCACTTTTCAACGCCTGATGGAGAAGTGTGTTGGTGATCTCCATCTGAGCAAAGTTTTGGTGTTTCTTGATGACCTGATAGTCTTCTCTGACCCTTGAAGAGCATGAGGCAAGGCTCATGAAGGTATTACATCGTCTCAAAGACTATGGGTTAAAGTTATCACCTGAAAAGTGTAAATTTTTTAGATCATCTGTTAAATACCTTGGCCACGTGGTTGATGCCAATGGTGTTCACACTGACCCAGACAAGGTCTCGGCTCTCAAGGATTGGCCCCGTCCCATTAATAGAGGAACTGAAGTGCTTCCTGGGCTTTGCAGGATATTATAGGCATTTTGCTGAGGGTTTCTCCAAGATCACCAAGCCTCTTAACACTCTCACTGCGGGCTATTACCTGCCCAAGAAGAGAGGCAAGACCTATAAGAGAGAGAGACCTAAAGGGGGAGTAAGCCCCAGAACACCCTTTGGTACGGAATGGACGCCTGAGTGCGAGTCTGCCTTCAGAACCCTCATTAACAAGTTGACATCTGCCCCCATTTTGGCCTTTGCAGACCCCCAACTTCCATATGTGCTACATACCGATGCTTGTTGTGAGGGACTGGGAGCTGCCCTCTATCAGGAGCAAGGTGGGAGGCTCAGGGTAATAGCCTACGCCAGCAGAGGCGTCTCAAAAAGTGAGAAAAACTACCCAACTCATAAGTTAGAATTCCTAGCTCTAAAGTGGGCAGT